AACTGGACACTGATTCCTCGTGATACCAATATCGATACATTTATGCAACTCTACATCCAAAAATAACGGCGCGAATGTAAAATTGGCGTCGCTTGGATTTGCGGATCGCCGAATTGGAACTTTGAAAAACAATTTTCGTAAATAGAACAAAACTAGAATGGAATCACGTTTACCTAAGCCTACGGGTCTAAAGCGTCCCACCCCGTCAATCAAACCAATATTACCCACTGATCGTATAAAAGCGGCTACAAATGCGAACCTAACATACAATGGATCAACAACAATTCAACCGCTAACGAGAGACTTGCAAAACATCATACCGCAAGCAATGAAGCGACAAGGACAAGGAGGTAAGTTTGGCGTTAATTATTGCAATTATTTGATTTTAAATCGTATTGTACACGCAGTTCGAGCCGCCTCGCCCGATCCAATGAAATCCATGAGTGCGCCGAACCGGGCGAAATTGCGACGCAGTCGATCGGCTTGTGACATAAGCGAAATGCGGCAGAATCTCAAGCGGAACGGGATTCCCAATCTGCCAACTATACCAACGAAATGCCCTCGACGTGCTGCAGTACCACCAACTACAACGACGAATCCGACCACTGTGGCTCGTACGGTTCGCGCCGGATCGGCGCCAGTCAAACGCCCCAATGCAGGGTCAGCGCCTCCACCGGCTAGCGTCTCAACGTCTCAGCGTCCATTGCCGCGCACAGGCACAGCAGCAGCGACAGCGACGACTAACAAAACGAAATCCTCTGCAAGCGCTGCTGGTGGCGCCGCAACTGCACCCAAGCGCATTGCTCCTTATGATTTTAAAGCGCGTTTTCACGACTTGCTGGAGAAACACAAGGCGCTCAAAACAAAATATGAGAAGCAAGTAGATGACATGGGCGAACTGGAATCACTGCCCATGCAACTGGAAGAGACACAAGCCAAGCTAATTGAAACAGAATCAACACTTAAGCATGCGCAAACGGATAACGAGTGTCTGCAGCGTCAGGTGAAGCAGCAGACGGAGAAAATTGAGATGATAACCAGCGCATTGGGTGAAACACGACTGGAGTTGCAAGACCTTAAAGTCACGCATCAGGTAAGCCAACAGAGCTAATGCATGTCAGATCGCGGGGTTACATATACTGAATTACAGGATATTAAGTCTGAGCACGAGTTCCTCTCCACTGAGGTCCAGCATCTGCGTAGGCGAAATGAGGAGCTCATACGAAGCAATGAACAGTTGCAGGCCGAACTGAATACGTGCAGGGAGCAGCTATTCCAGTCGAACATCGAGCGCAAGGAACTGCACAACGTGGTCATGGATTTGCGCGGCAATATAAGAGTCTTCTGCCGAGTGCGTCCGCCGCTAGAATCGGAAGCGGGACGTTTGATGTGCAATTGGATATACCATGACGAGGCGACAGTGGAGCTACAGAGTTTAGATGCCCAGGCGAAGAGTAAGATGGGTCAACAGATATTCAATTTCGATCAGGTGTTTCATCCCAATTCGAATCAAATTCATATTTTCGAAATGGTTGCTCCACTGATTCAGTCAGCTCTCGACGGCTATAATATATGCATCTTTGCCTACGGCCAAACGGGCAGTGGAAAAACGTACACGATGGACGGCGTGCCAGACAATGTGGGAGTTATACCACGCACAGTCGATCTACTATTTGACTCCATTAGAAACTATCGTAACTTGGGCTGGGAATATGTTATAAAGGCGACATTTTTGGAAATCTATAATGAAGTGCTGTACGATCTGCTGAGCAACGATCAAAAGGAAATGGAAATCCGGATGGCCAAGAACTGCAACAAGAATGAAATCTATGTATCGAACATAACGGAGGAAACGGTGACAGATCCCAATCACTTACGTCAGCTGATGGAGTTGGCCAAAATGAATCGTGCCACAGCATCCACAGTGGGCAATGAGCGTTCGTCGCGTTCCCATGCGGTCACCAAGTTGGAACTAATCGGCCATCATGCTGAGAAACAGGAGACGTCTATAGGATCCATCAATTTAGTCGATTTGGCCGGCTCGGAATCGCCAAAGACCAGCATCCGAATGACCGAAACCAAAAACATAAATCGTTCGCTCTCCGAACTGACGAATGTGATTTTGGCGCTGCTCCAAAAACAGGATCACATACCGTATCGCAACTCAAAGCTGACTCACTTGTTGATGCCGGCATTGGGTGGTAATTCCAAGACCCTCATGTTCATCAATGTCTCACCGTTCCAGGACTGCTTTCAGGAATCGGTAAAATCGCTCCGCTTCGCCGCCTCCGTCAACTCCTGCAAAGTGGCCAAGGCCAAGCGCAATCGGTTCGTTAACAATTCGAACAACAGCTCCATCAACAGCAGTTCTGAAAAGTAAACCTCTGTCGATTCACGTTCACGATTATAGTAATTATCTGAATTGTCAGCTATTCATTTGTATATCTTGTACTTTTTTAATAATTGATAAAGCATAATCCAAATTTTTACTTCTCTCTCACTGTTATTACTTAATTTATAATTGTATGTGCTTAGTGCAAAAACAAAAACAAAAACAAGCAAAAATAAAAAATATATAACAGATTACGTTTGTTTAGTGCCTACGGCCTGTCGCACTTCTAGCGGGATCTTCTCCACCAGCTCTTGGTGATTGTTGCCAACACTGGCGAGCACTCCCCGTCCATTGACATGCTCCACATTCTCATGGTATTCGTAGTGTTCGCCATTGATGTTGGTTAGAGTTCCACCACTGGCCTCCAGCACAGCTTCTGGTGCACAAGTGTCCCATTTCTTGCAACCGGGCGTGGCAAAGACATAAGCGTGTGCCTTGCCCTCGAGCAGTTGCAACACCTTGAATCCAGCGCCGCCTACCTTGAGCACTTTGCTGGCATTGAACACATCCACTGCCTTTTGATGCAGTGCATTCGAGTGCGAGCGGGTGGTTGTGATAATGAATTCATTGGCTGGCGGTTTGACAGCCGTAAATCCGCCAGTGCCCAAGCCTTTGAGACCCCAAATGGTGCGTCCCAGCTCGCCGCTGGATTGTTGATAAAATGGCTGGTGAATAATGCCACCCACAGCTGAGTTCTTTATGGCTATGCCAATGAGCACCGTCACATGCTCCACAAATCCTATAAGATAATCTGGTTTTAGATAGAACTTTGTTACACAGATCGAGTGTATACCTTGTGTATATTCTGCAGTGCCATCTAAGGGATCAACCCATATGACAAAGTCCTCCGGTTTTGCATCCCTCCAATCCGCTGGGCAGTCTTGCTTGAGGAATGTTTCATCCAGTTCGCCCACCAACCATTCATCGCATACATTCAAATCGGATCCACCTTCCTCACCGATTATCTTAATGCTGGGAAATTTCTTTGCCAAAGATGCAATAATGCACCGTTGCGCCGAACGGTCGGCTTCTGTCTGTGGATCATTTTTGCCCTTATCCACGATGCCGAGGTCGCCCTGCTTGAGAACATCGCGTATGATGACGCCAGCCCGTTTGGCCGTGTTAATGGACAATGCCATTATTCGCATAATAAGTGGTGCGTTCGTGGTCATCTTTTTAAGTCTTGAATTGTTCTGTATGTGGAATGATAACTCCTCCGAAATACTCTGTGCTTCACACTTTCACTTTAATTTATGCAAAAAAAAAAAAAGTTGGCCAAACAGCTGTTATCTGCGCGCTCAAGCAGGGTACGCAACGCATAAGCCATGCAAAAATCAACGTGCAAAATATTATTTTATGCTATGAGGTATATTTTATGGGGTGTATTTTTTTCCGTTTTTCTTTATTGTTTTTTATATATCGAAAGAACAGGTATATTTTTTAGTGCAAATAATTGGCCATTGCGGTCACAGTATACCATCTTTAATGATCAGCTTGTTGTTTAACAGTGTGGCCACGCCATTCTGGAAGTGGCAACGCTGCGGCAAATACAACCTTTGGACCCCCAACCACCCCCTCTCATTTTTAACAATATCTGCTGTTGCTCGGAAGGTAAATTAACATAGAGCACGATTAATAAAATTATATTATGTATATATAATTATTGATTTCTAATTTCTTAGAAAATGGCTCGTGTTTTGGTTGGTGTAAAGCGTGTGATCGACTATGCCGTTAAGGTGAGTAAATTTAGTATGGATCTCCGTTAGATTCTTCTTCTTATCACTTGTTGCGCTTCGTTTTGCGTAATCGTTTTTATTATTCTTAATTAAATATCTTCCGATTGGAACTTGTGTAGGTGCGCGTGAAGCCGGAGAAAAATGGCGTTGTTACTCAAGGTGTTAAACACTCCATGAATCCCTTCGACGAGATCGCCGTTGAGGAGGCCGTCAAGATGAAGGAGAAGAAGCTGGCCTCTGAGGTGATTGCTGTCTCTGTGGGTCCCACGCAATCGCAAGAGGTCATCCGCACTGCCTTGGCCATGGGCGCAGATCGTGGCGTGCACGTTGAGGTGCCAGCCGCCGAATACGATCTGTTGCAGCCGATTCATGTGTCCAAAATACTTGCCAAGCTGGCACTGGACGAGAAGGCCGACTTGGTTATATTGGGCAAGCAGGCAATTGATGATGATGCCAATCAGACGGCACAGATGACCGCCGCCGTGTTGGACTGGCCCCAGGGCACATTCTGCAACAAGGTGGAGAAGACGGATGCAGGTCTGACGATCGCCCGTGAAATCGACGGCGGCCTGGAGACCATCAAGACCAAATTGCCAGCGGTGCTGAGCGCAGATTTGCGCTTGAATACGCCACGTTATGCCACGTTACCTAACATCATGAAGGCCAAGAAGAAGCCACTGAAGAAGGTGACGCCCAAAGATCTAGGTGTTGATACTACGCCACGCATTGAGATTATATCTGTTGAGGATCCACCAGTGCGCCAAGCGGGCGCCGTCGTTGCCGACGTGGATGCTCTAGTGGCCAAGCTGAAGGCTGGCGGTCACATCTAAGCAAGCAACCTATCAAAATTGTGAGCTAAATTCTACGTTCTATTTGATTTTCAATTTAAATTACCTTCTATCAGAAACGTGCATTTATCTAGCCTCTAACGATTGATGTGCCGATTGGAGAGAGCCAACTGTCCCCATAGTGCTTTAAGTCAAATTCAATGTTTTTTATTTTTTTGAATCTGTCGTGTCAAGCCTTAACGAATAAATTGAAGTGATGCTAACATAAAAAACGACTGTGATATACCCTGTATTCCGTCCCGTTTTTCTGCTAACATGTCGCAATACATACATACATACATACATTAATAGAATAACACTCATACATACAATATACTCACGCACGTCGTTTTGCTGCGCATTTTATTCCGTGGCTATGATTCCTAATTTCAAAGTGAAATGTGATATTGAATATGAATGAAATTAAATGAGTATATGAATGGGTATATGTATATATGTAAATACAACTATCATCACAGTTTTAGTGTCAATCTTATAAGTTAACTATTTCACATCTTTCCATTTTCTTTGCACTTGAGATGTGCGAAAAACGCAAGTTAAAATATTGAAGTTCGATAAGATTTTATCTGTTTGTTATCGATGTTTTCAAACTATTTTGACTTGCGCGTGCAATTAGAGGACATGTACCTACATATATATGTACGTATGTACTTATGTTAATTGACTCGGTTGTTGAGCCTGTTAATAATAATTTTATACAAACCTGCATATATCACTAAAATATCATACCATGTGCTACCATTCACAATAGATGTTCAAGGTGCCACGAGGTCGTCCACTGGCCAATTTTGTCACATATCCGTCAATTCCTTTTCAGCGAACGTGGCTCAACTTGACGCACCTAAATCGGAAAAATTTCCTTTACTTGCGGTCGTGCACGTTCCTAAATGGTGTGATCCAGTCACAGGCAAAGCAAAGGCCAATCGATTTAATTTAATATACTTTATTTAGCAAATCAAACTAATTGTTCTTGGTTTTCTCATTCTAACATTATTTGGAGTATTTATAAAAGTATAAAAAATGTGTATAAAATTTATAGATTATGTTTTGCGCTTAACAATATTAAGAGATATAAATTGTTATATAATTATATATGTATGTATATATAAAGTATGACGGACAATAGACACATAGCAGGCAAATATCAAGACATGGCAGGAGCTGGCATAGGAAAATTGCCCTAAATAGGATCTTTAAAAATGGTGTAAAAAATTGCAAAATTGTCGAGTTTTTTGTTTCGAGGTCTTATCATATCCAACTTTTGTTTGTTTGTTTTTGTATCACACTGCTTCAGTCAGCAGCAGCTTAGATTAGTCAGCTGTAGTATTTATAGCATATAATTAATTGCGTCCAGCCGGCGACTTTTCCTTATCGCTGAATAGCAAAATGCGCGTTAGCATCGTTGTGATGCAGGGTATTTGCTTCTGCTGATGCATCTCAGGAGTATCCGGTGTGCAGGACTCGAAATCGACGGCGACACGCTGGCAGACGAATGTGAGCAGGGTGAGAATGTCCATACGCTTGCCATTGGCAGCCAGCTCGGCGCAGAGGCTCTGCATGAACCAACTGCCACGAGTGGTATTCCGCCACGAGTAGAAGCCCGGTATGGTTGAATAGGCGATCAGGAAATCGGCATGGATGGGGATCTTGTAGCTCATGGAGGAGTCGCCATCCGTTTCGGTGCGACCACGTTGCATGGTGACGCCCGTATCCAATCGGTCACCCTGGCAGGCCTGAATGAAGAACAACTTGGGCTTGCCAGCCAGTGTGGGGCAATGATTGGCAGTGAAGTGACTCCAGATGTTGTCCAGCTTATATTGCGTATCCTTGGCATAGATATACCCCATTTCACCGTGCGAGAGTATAGCCACCAATATGCAATCGTTATGCGTGTGATCCTGTGACGCGGCATATTTAATGGTGCTCATAATCTCCTGATAGCGATAATCTTTGTACACACTGACATCAAAATCCAGCTGCTTCAGCACTCGAGACAGATTCTCGCAGTCCACATTTGTGCCTGCACGCGACTTCAGGGTGGGCACATCGAAATGCTCGTGATTGAAGATGATGGCCATGCCGCGATTCTTGTGCCGCATATTGTACTCGGCAGCATGTCGCTCGGTCACCATTTTGGCCACATTCTTGTGATATCCGGAGGAACTGTAGCCATTCGAGGCCAGCTGACCGATGGCGCCGCTACCAAAGTGGCTTTGTTTATAAGCTGTCGAGGTCGATGCACTGGTGCTGCTGCTCGTGCCCACAGAGCCAAAGGCATCGGTTAAGTCGTCTGTATTGGTGGCGGCCTCGATGCGTATGCCTACCTGATCGGTGGACTCGATTTCGTTGTTGCTGCTGCTATTGTTGTTGGCGGCCATTGTGAAAAATTACCCTGTGAATATTTTTTTTTTTTGATGAGTCACACTGCACGGGTATTGTTGCCCAGGCAAACAGTTAATAGCAGAAATTATTTAACAATGCTTCCTTTTGGCATACAAATGTATTTTAACTGCGAACACTTGTTGTTATAACAAAGAAATGCGATGCGAAACTGCAGCGCTGCAGTAGTTTGTCTAGTTTGTTGCGCTCTCTTTGTTTTTTTTATGTTATGGTTTTTGCAAACTTAACATGGCACTGTTCTGTTAATAACAGCATGCAGTATTTTTACTGGTCAGTCTCGCTGTTTTAATTTAAAATGCAACATTCAGTTCGTTTTATAACAAATGTTTTATTTATTTAATTGATTTTCCACTAAAACAAAATTTGGCAAATTGAATTCAGCTGTGGTTGATTTTGATATTTTAATGCTGCTGTAAAGCAGTCCAGCCCACTCAATAACAGAGTGGTGAATTGCAAAATGCAACTCGTTCTTAAATGCGATAATATGCAATGCCAGAATGCTTGCAAATATGAAGATGCTAAAGAATGTTAAGCGAATGAGAAATGAAAGAAAATGAAAACAATAAATCATTTGATGAATTTGAAAAATTGAATAAAACAAACAATTAGTTGAACACGATAATTTGTTTTAAATATACATGAATTCAATATATTTGTGTAAAATGAGATAAACACAATAATATTTTTTATGATTATTACCATTTATTACCACTAATAAATTTAACAATGTGGTATGGTTAGTGGTAATACTCAAATTGCTTAACTTTTCATTCAAAGCTCAGCGCGCGCCCAAATAGCTTGGTTTTGTGACGTCACAGCTTTAACAGAAATTGAGTTCTGTTTACAGCTGCTTTGTGGTGAAAATAACTTATCAGACTAATGTAAATAGATTCAAACGGCAGCGAACGTAAAAACTTGAAATCCAGTAAACCCAGCTTATATGTATGTATGTATATATGCCTGTATGTATGCGCATTTATCCATAATTGTTGTTTTCTTTTCTTTTTCTTTTTGTTATCCGATGTATATATGGGAAGAGTGCCGTTTAAACTAGCATTGAGTATGTATGTATATGTATATGTATGTATGTTTGATATTGGCTTAATCGTAATCAAATTTCAAGCCACTTCCCCTTAAATGTTGCTCGGACCAGTAATCAAATCGTTCTGATATTTCATCTGTCATGTGATTCCGCCAGTCGCCCACTTTGCCCTTGCGTATGAACTTCGTCTCTCGCTGCGGAATCAACTTCTCCATATTGATAGCCCCATTGCTTTGCATGCTGTCAAACTTCAGATGCTGGCAGATGCTCTTCATATTCTCTTCATTAAGCAGCTCCGTAACATTCAGGAATTGAGCACATCGTTTTATCACGGCGGGCAGATCACGCACCATATCCTCGTACTTGATAAACAAGACGTTGTCATCGAAGCTGCGCTTCCAGAAGGGCAGCACATGCTTCCAATAGGAGCCCATGGGCGTGTGCCCGCCCAGAAAGAGGTTCACGAACTGCTCAAATTCTCCATTGATGCCATGGAGCAGTTTGCAGTAGTGATAATACGAAACACACAGATCCTTTGGATTGCGTGCAGTGTACACAATTTTGGGCTTCACCGTGTCCAACTGTGAGGGCAGTAGCTGCCAGGAGAGATGCGACCGCGCATAACGTGGGCGGGGCAGATTTTTAACCAGCTCCACTGTGTTGCCAAAGGCATCGCTGTGGGAGGGTTAAAGCTATACCTGTATACTTGTAAGAAGTAGCGATGGATCTCTTATACGTACGACACCCACTGATGATGATCCGTGCTGAACAGAGCGGATAGCTCGATCAAGGGTGCGCGCATGCGCAAATCTTGCTTGGCCGCCTCGTAATCCAGCTGATGGCCCAACAGCCAGATCATCTCCTGCGCCCATGTCGAGCCGGTGCGAGGGTACGACACCATCCAAACATCATCCTTGTAGATGGGCAAGTCGCGTATAGACTCGCCCATTTCGATATACTTGCGTGGTATGATTAGCTGATCGGGCAGCACCTCCACGAAGCAATCCTGCACTGGAAACACAGCGTTCGTGCGACGCACTATATCTGCATCCAATTCACGGTAGGTGAGCTGCATGATGGCGTTGCTACCTTTTCTCTGCACTGTCAGCCAACGACTGGCTGCAACAGCCAAGTGGAAAGTCAGCCCAAGCGTGCGGTGAAAGTGAGGCTAACGGGAATCCATCTAAGTTTTCCGCAACATGAACTTGTTTTTGCACCAACCGAAAAACAAAAACCGGCTCGCTGCCATCGCGAATGTAAACTGCAGCAGCTCAAATTGTCAGCCAAGTGCTCACCGCTCAATGCTCAAAGCTCAATGTCTAATGTCCCGGCACAAATCCGTCCAAGTTGGTTTACCCCACGCCCATTATCTGGCGTTTTGTTGGGGTTGTTTACGGCTTAATTTGGTATACTATACTACGTAAGTATGATGTTTCAAAGAGACATCGAATTAAGCTAGCATGATACTTATCCAGTTAGGGTTAATGATTTTAAGTTGTCGCCACAGTACCTGAAATTACCTAAATTACAGTTCAGTTCAAGTTTATAGCAAACAGATTTGTATCTCCCACACCCATATTAGCTAGACTTTTGTCGGGGTTGTTTTGGTATCCCATACTTATGGTAGTACTATATTTTAGAGAGACTTCGCAGTGAGTTATCCATTTGGGGTTAACGATTTTTAATTGTCTTTAAAATACCTAAACTTATCTTTATTGTAGTTTAAGTAGCTGTGATCATTCTATCTTTTTCAAAATAAGAGTTAATTTTATAGGCTGGTAAGCAGACAGATTTAATCTGTTTTGCTGTTCAATGAACTTAGCAATCATGAAGAATAGATTATTGTGAAAAATTTGACAAAGAAAAAAAACTTGAGTATATATTCTCTATGTATAAGAAAAAATTTAAGAATACTTTTTAAAATCTAAAAATATTTTAATGATAAAAATTAATTGTATAAAAAAATATAATTAAAATATTAATAAAGAATTTTAAAAATGTTAAATTATTTATTTAAAAATTATAATGAGTCTATACTTCTATCGATAGATCCGTAAATAGGCCTATATGAAATCTTACGCATATTTAATTCACATTAATCTTCATATTCGATTTTTATATTAAAGATGGAAAACGTTTTTTTTTGTTTGTTTTTTGTTTCACTCAAATGTATATATATTAAAATTCTAAAATTATTGATTTTTTTTAAATATTTTAAAATTATTGTATGTGTATATGTTTTGTAAAGAGTAATATGATATGTTATTCAAATATAAATTATCTCGTTACCTTGAAAGTTGATTATTTACATCCTGAACCAAGACATCCTCATACGACTTCCAATTACATTAAGATTTATTGCCATTCGTAATACTATTTACATTGAGAAATTTTTGAATCAACTACATCTATATCATTCTAATAAGCACGCTTAGCAGTCGTCGTTGGTAGTTTGGGGCAACTACAACTCGTTGTGCACGTATTCCGTGGTCACCTTGGCCTCGCCCTCGTGGAAGCCGTTGCAGTCGACGGGATATTTAGCCTGAGGTGAGGGGAGCAACACGATTAGTCGACAAATTCCAAATAGATAACGGTAACAACAATTGGAATGGTTATAGAGACGGATGCTCACCTCGCAATTATATGGCGCATTGATTACACCGAACAGCGTCCAGAATGGTGTACCGGTTTCAGTGCTAATGAAGATCGCGGCACCCATGCTGCCGATCTTAACAATTTTCGGACTAACGCCGGCAATGAGACCGCCGGCCGTTGTCTTCGTCGATTTCTTCGATTCCTGCTGCTGTTGCTGTTCGAGAGCGGCTGCATTCAGCTCACAAAGCACATAGCGATCGCATTGCGGCGACTTGGAGATGAATCTGTAGGCGCGATGGACTTTTAGCACCGGTTCGATAACCTGTTTTGATGCGTTTATCGAACAATCGCAGAAAAAGAAGAAAAATGGGAAAAGAGAAAATTTGTTGTAGCGTAATTAATTGCATTTATGCTATCTGCTTGGCTTAGATTCGTTTTCTGTTTTCTGTTTTCCAATTCGGTTCTGTGGCATGCACTTACCTCTAGGTTGAGCGTATCCGTCAATCGATCGCTGATCTCGGTGGCATTGAACTGCAGCAGGCCACGTGCTTGGCCCAGTTTGAGCAGCTCCTTAGCGTAGCCAACAGCTGGCTTCACGTATTGACGCGAATCAATTTTCACATTCAAATGGTGTTTGGCCACGTGGTTCAAGAGATTTGAAATGGTTTCGCTGGGGCGTGCCGGATCGAAATAGGTTTGCTTGGGATAACCTTGAGACTTCAATAGACCGTTAAACATGATTTGCGCCGTCTGGAAGTATCTGAGGAAAGTGCAAAAAGCAAAAAGAAAAAAATTAAAAAAGAAATGGAAAATCAAATTGTTGCTCATATAATGCTGACGCAGCATTATTAGAGTGAAAGGGCCGCTAGAAAGTGGAAGTTATTATTGTTGTCTAATAACAATGATGATCATGATGATCATAATAATGACGATGATGTTGATGATAATATGCTGATGATAAGCGGGGGCGTGAATAATTAATATAATTGCCAAAAATTTTGCATTTTGATTGTGTCTTGAGTCAGCTTGACCCAAATACTCGCAGCTCGGTGCTTTTTCAAGTATTTACTTTGCCTTTGGCCCACTTCCTCATCCAAACAGGTTTTGCCAACAGCAACAGCAACAGCAACAGCAACAGCAACAGCAACAACAACAACAACCATGCATACTAAATGAACCGTTCTGGCATTCGTATGGTTTATTTGTATGCTTAATGATGCCATCGTCGTTGTAACTGTAACACACACACACAGAGGCATGCAAGCCGACACACACACAGACACACACTCATGCACGCGTGCGCGCACACCCAAATCCGAAAATGCGAAGCCTGCAATTGGATTTGGACTTGAATTCTCTCTTCTCCCCTTCTGCCTTCTCTTCTTCTTATTGTTGTTGACCAGTCAGATTAACAACCATGTTCTAAAAGCTGCCAGCACTAAAAAAGTGTGTCAAAAGGTAAGTGAGCGCGCGAGCGGGCTAGCTTCAAACATGTTCGATGCCAAACAGGTAGCAGCTAACGGTAATTCAACAGGCAGATACAACAACAGCAACACGCAGCTGTTGCGTACTCGCATTTGTATTGCAATTAGACGTAAGCATCGCTGAGAGTTAGAATCATATCACATTAGGGTGCTAAACAGCTTAATACCGTTAAGACAGAGAATCGTGTTCCACAATTAACACGCATCGATCACCCGGCAGACGCTCACCTGAGATAGTTTTCCGGATTGGCTATATAGCTGGCCCAGTCAGCCAAATACAAAGTGGCCGATTTGATCCAGCGACGACGGAAGGATTGATTATTCAGTGACTCGAACAGTTTATCGTAATCGACTTTGCCATCGCGACCCTTGAAGCCCTTTAAACAAGTAAGAAATACATATCGATGAATGAATAATCGATGACATATTACATCGCTCTTATTTGACCTTCGGTTCTTTTTCGAGTAATAATAAATAAAATTTTGAATATTATCGTCACGTACCTTCATTATCTTGTTGACGCCCGACTTCTCGTACAGCGCATCCGCTAGCTCGGAGTTGGAGAAATGATCCCACAGCACGTGCACATGCTCCAGGAATGGTGGCAGGACCCAAGCATGGCTCTTGTGGCGCTCCTGTGTGTGCTGGCCCTCGGGTCCGGCAAAGGAGCTGACTGCCTGCATGATTAGTGGCAACAGGTTCATGAAGCCATTCTCTGTCTCTGGTTCCTCCTCCTTGACGGCTCTCTTTTGCTTCTGATGTTGAAGATTGGCGGGCTTTTCGGGAGCGCCTTGGTTGCCCATGAAAGCGGATGCCACTTGCAGAATGGTGTCCAGGCCAATGCCAGCGCCAGCACCGCCGCCGACGCCGCCACCGCCGCTGCTACCACCACTGCTGCGCTTCTGTGCATCACCAGTATCCTCATCATCGCCTTGGGTGAACATCTCCAGGACATTGCCAATGATGGATGGATCGAAGCCACCGCCACCACCACCTCCATTGCCGCCATGTGCATTGTTAGCCAGCATGCTGCCCAGGCCCGAAAGGATTTGCATGGCGGCTCCTCCACCGCCACCACCGCCTCCACCAGCTTTGCCGTTGGCCTGCATAAAGCTGCCGATTAGGGATGCCACTCCAGCCAACCCAGCGCCACCCCCGCCGGCCGCACCGCCTCCACCGCCGCCACCACCACTATTGGACAATGCCTCCTGTATAAAGACAGAGGCCATATCCAGCAATGGATTCGACTCCTCCTCTTCGGCCATATGGCCAAACGGCTGCGCGCAGAGCAACGCCAGCAGAAGCAGCGCTCGTTTCATATACATTTTTTTGCTTTATACTTTTTTCGGCAAGAACTTTCACAATCACACACTTGAGATACTTTTTTTTCGTATGCTTATATATTATTTCTTTTGTGGCTGGGCCAATTAAACAACAACAACAACAACACAAACGACGCTTCACTGACTTGAGAAATTGGTAGACAAAATCCCAAATCGTTTCTTATGCTGCTACAGTTAAATATGAATAAACATATACTATCTATGTATATGTGAATGTATGTAGGTATGCCTGTGTCCAAGCCCGTAGCGCAGCAAACACAGCCAACACAGACGAAAACTTTCTTTCTTCTGTGCCTCGAAGTCAGTGTGTAACACTTCTTAAGTCGCTCGTCTGGGCAGATGCAACATGTTGCATTCGACCTCGAGCACAGCTGTGTTCGTTGTGCGCGCTCTCCTTTTGGTTTGATCACGCGCGCTCTCTCTATTTCTCTCTGTCTCTCCCACTCTCTTTGGCCTTAAGCTTCTTCACGCCTGCGCCTTGTGTGCGTTGGGCTGTCCACGTCAGTTTGCTGCCCGCATAAACACGTACATGACGTGTGTGTGTGTGTGTGTATATATAAAAAAACTTTTGCGCTGTTCTATGGCTGTGTTGTTGGCTTTTAACTTTGTTTATATTTTCTACCCACTTTCTTTTTACACACACATTCTTAGTGTGTCGCTCTTCTCGTAGTGGCGTGGTCAAAGTCAACGCTTTAACTTTATTTCTCTTTCGTTCTTTATGCTAAGTTAACGCACACACACACGCTTACTCTTGCAGAATGGAATTACATGACAGCAATTCTAACGACATTTTCGAACTGTTATTAAAGCTCATCGAAGCAACAAAACAAAAACAAAATTACTAGATGGAGCGTTTCTATAATAAGTCAAGTTCAACATTCTTGTAAATTTCTTTTATATATTTCTTATAATATTACAGCTGATTCAAGTTAACATTAAGTTAATCTGTTTTTGTAAGAGTATTGAAATTTCGTTGTTGAGAACATTTTAAATCCAAAATAAATGTCGCAACATTAATTTTTAGTTATCGAAGGCAAATGTATATAAACTCAATATAAATTGACGCGATTGAAATTCTCTTCTTCTTGCCCAGATGTGTGCCATGGCCTATTTGTTGTCATTCTTCTTCAACCTGTAGTTGTTGTTGCTCGAATTGAATTCGAAATGAATAATAGATTATTCGATGTGTGCCAGTTACATAAATTTTATTAATCGTCCATGCCCCCTGGTCGACGATCCAACAAACATGTGGGTCCAAACAAAAAATAAGGAGTAAAAAACCTACTAAAAACACTTGCTGGCCGCAGTTTCTTCAATCGCTCGTAGATCCAATTAACGGTGTTCTAAAGTGCAGAAATATTTCAATATATATCGATTATATACCATACATTGTATTAATCTCCACTCACATCGATGCCCACGCCTGCCAATGAGGAGCATTCGTATATTTTCCATGGACGACCCTCGATGCGATTCAGGCCTAGCAGCTCAACAATCATGGAGCTGGGCAGAGCACCAAAGGCATCCTGTTTATTGGCCAGAAGCAGCAGCGGCACATGCGAAAGTCGCTCATCCAGGAGAACCTCGCACAGCTCACAGCGTGCCTCACTCAGACGAGATGCATCCGCGCTGTCGATAACAAAAATCTGCCAAGAATATTAATGAAGTGTATGGGCTGGGCAAGGATTAGGATGTGCCACTTACCAATACATTGGCATCCTTATAGAATGAATGCCACGACTTACGCATTCTACACTGCCCACTCAAATCACGCAAACAAACTTTCATTTTCTTAAATTTCAAATGCCTTTCTGTTAGGTCAACCGTCGGAGTAACCTGCTTGACCTGACCCAAAAGATACACGTATACAGATAAAATAGATGATATGGAATCAAAGATCAGTTTGCTCTTACGGCATCATCGGTTTCCAGGCCGAGACGTGCCGCCAAGGTGCTCTTGCCCGCATTGTTGAGGCCCAGGATGAGTACATTGAACTCCTTCTTGGGCGCTTTGCGCAGCTTGCCCAGGAGCGTGGTCATACCTTTGTTAGGTTGGAAGATTATTTAATTGTTTTGTTTCTGTTTTTGTTTATTTTTTGTGAAGTGTCAGCCGTATACGAGCTACTACTAAGATTTGTATGCTACGAGGCCAAAACTTTTCAATCAGTCAAAGTTTATATGTAAATATTTAAGGACACTTTTAATTACGTTTTCTTTTCTAACAAAACAATATTCACATCTGAATTAATTTGAATTAAATATTTTTCTCTTCTGCTTAAACTATTTTTTCATATTCTTGCACACCCAGTCCATGCCCTCCTTGATGCCAGTGCCATCGACAGCTGTGCAGGCTTTGATCTCCCAGCTGCGCTCCTCCAGACGCACCAGACCCAACGCTTCGGCCACCTCGGAGGCGCTCATGGCATTGGGCAAGTCCTGCTTGTTGGCAAAGACCAGCAGCGGCACTCTCTTCAAGCGATTGTCCATGAGCATCTCGAAGAGCTCGCTGCCCGTTTCCGACAGTCGCGCCCGATCCGTGCAGTCTATAACGTAGATCTAATTAGAGTAAAAAGATGATTATAGAATAACTGAAGGATATCACTTTGTTTGGTTTAGTTACCAAGACATCTGTGTTGGCAAAATAATTCTTCCAATAAGGCCTAATCTTCCATTGACCGCCAATGTCCCAAACATTCAACTTGAAGCCATCTGCAGCAACGGATTTGATGTTAAAGCCGGCGGTGGGCGTCACCTGCGAATGATTGGAAAGTCTATTAGGAAAGCAAGAACGCATCTGTTCCATAATACTCACCGTTGTTATATCCTCGGAAGCGAGCTGTTTGAGGATTGTTGTCTTGCCTGCGTTGTCCAAGCCGAGCAGCAAAATACGCGCCTCCTTCTCTGGATTGGGTCGCAGTTTGCGCAGCAGCGAAAGTAGACCCTATATACAAGAAATATTTAAATAAAACTAATATTTAAAGAGTAAATAATAAGCTTTTACTGCAGATAAACATCACGTTTGAAGCTCGATTAACTGGCGCTCTTTATGCAAATCGATATCGCGTGAGGTATCGAGCTTTTACAGCTGGCCACACTTCTTCAGCAACAGCTGGCGATGAGCGCCAGTTATCGATATTCTCACATGCACAAGTTGCCATGACGACAACAAATAATAAACAAATTATAAATTGGATAATTTGAGGTGATTTAATAATATTATAAAAAACTACAATTATTCAAGTCTTTGTTTGCTCAACGATATGGAATGAGTGGGCGTACAACCTACCATTTTTATAAATAACAATAGCAGTACTGGCACGCTCAGCGACGATCGGTTATATTAATTTCAACTCTAGCACTTGAATTTGAAAAACTGATTAAAAACCACCACCAAAATCGCCAACAACATTACAGGTGCAATGCTAGCTAGCAACTGAACAACGGTCGACCAAACACAATAGAGCAACAGAGCAGACGCAGGTAGCGCCCCGCTTCGAATCGAATCGCCCCGCTGCGCAAACGCTCTCCGAGAAGCGGAAGATGGGACGACGGTTGCTATTTACGGGCTTCAATGCATTTGGTCAGCACAATGCGAGCAGTACGGAACGCACTTCCGGTCGAGTCAATGCCCTAACCGGTTCGTAAGTGTGCAACAAGTTGATACGTGCTCAAATTAAATGTTAATTTTGTATGTTTAAATCCTTGTTAGAAATCAGTCTGTCGGATGATAGCGACGGGAAAATAATACTTGCTCTGAGCTGGCGTTACACGGCTTATGCTGTGGGCAAGAAACTGTGGCTGCAAGGACTGCTAGCCAGCAAGCCAGCGGAAAGGTTGGAAGTGCATGCATCTGAAGAGATAAAAGCCTTGGCTGCTTGCGATGCCCATTGCTTGGTGTTGCTGCAGAGTGGCCAGTTATATAAGCTGCGAGCGGAGTTGAATGCCACACTGCAGGCCGTAAAATTAGAAGCACCTTCTGCAAAGCGAAACATATTTGGCCAGGCCAAGGAAGCCGAGGATATCTCCATCACCCACATTGCCTGTGGCTCGCACATCAATGTGGCCATCACTGCGGGGAATGCTGTGTATAGCATACCCAGTTGCCTGCATCGCTTTCCGCAGGGCTCGTGGCGAGTGCGGCAGTTGGAGTGCGGACACGAGCACGCGCTGCTACTGAACGGCAACGGCGATGTCTACAGTTGGGGCAACGGACTGTAAGATTTCACTATCGTTAATTTGACTAAGATTTAAGGCATTTGCATACTTCACAGACGTGGGCAACTGGGTCACGAGAGTTTGGGTGTGGAAGAGCGTCCGCTTTTACTCGAGCCACTGGCGGGCATTAAGGTGAGCAAATAGACTCATGACTAATTTTGTCAGTTTGTCAGTTTGTTATCTTCGTTATTCAACTAATGCCTATTTGCTAGATAACACACATTGCGGCCGGTGGCTGGCATAGTGCAGCTATTTCAGCCTTTGGCGATCTCTATGTGTGGGGCTGGAATTGTAATGGACAGCTGGGCATGCGCGTCATGAAGCCAGATGGCCTGCTTAAGGAGCCCACGGTTTATCCCTTGCCCCAACTACAGGATTTGCCAGCATGCTGTGCAGCTGTTGAGGCAGAGACTGATGTGTGTACTCCCATAAAGGCTTACGCAGGATCACGGCACACGCTTATCCAGCGCAGCTGTGGTCGACTGTGGGCTTGTGGCTGGTGTGCACACGGTCAACTTGGTCAGCAGCCGCCCAAATTGGCCTATTTGGATAGTTTTAATGCTATGCAGCAGCTGCCTAAAGACTGCGATTATAATGTAGTGTGTGGTCCTTGGTCCACTTTGATTGCTTTGTCTGAGTAAATTCAGAATATATTTTGATATTTTATATACTTGCTTTAAATTTGTATATTCATTCACTTTTACTTTTTGAACAGCCACCTTTTGTTACACTTTCAAAGCTGGTTGCTATACAACTCAGCACAGCGCATGCAGCTATCTCGCTCAAGCACATGCTGTCTTAGCTAACGCCTTAGCTAGGTCTCAAACCAGTAAAATAACGCCTTTTCAAAATTGTTAAATAACTAATATTTAACTAAAACGTAATATATATTTTTTTTTAATTATATAAAAAGTTTTATAATATATGCTCTAACTTTGTACAAAGGAGCCTTTTTAGGAAAGTGACGTACGAATTTACAAAATTTCATTACATAAAGTAAAAAAAACAAAAGCCAAACATTACAACAACAAAGTCAGGGAAAGGCAGATTAAATTAAAAGCTGCTGCCCTACGGCTAAACATGGCGTAAGTGTGTAAAGAAAGTGTTCTCTCCAAATCGAATTGGTAATCGAATGGCAAACAGTCCCAGCATATTTTTTGTGCTATTCTGGCGGATTGGAGTGCACCTGTTGTATCCCTATAGGTATACGAATCGCTCGATTCAGGATGCCCTGGGCGATGATTATCTGGTGTGGGTCTCCAGCGATCGCTGGCAGAACGAGCAAATGGTCTTCATGCTATTCCGCCAGTCGATCGAAAACTTTCTGATATTCATTTTGATCATGGAGATTATGCACTCTATTCAGGTGGGACGCAATATGCCGTTAGTGGTGTAATGCGGCGCCGCATCAATAAAATGTGTAATTTAAGAAAATGTAATTTCTTTTTTGACATCTCACGGTAGTAAACCTCCCCGGACCACACGAGTGTGGGGCATATCAATTTTTTGTTTCTATTCTATTTTTATTTCAGTTTTGTTCTTGTTGTTCTGGTTGTTTTTGTTTTTTGTCTTGGGATAGGTCCGAGGCCGATGTCCCACTGTTGCCTCGCTCATTAACGCTGACGCTGACGCTGGCGTTCTCGTTGTCGTTGTCGTTGTTGCAGTCGCGCGTGTAATCAGTAAATTTTATTTAAAAAAAAATGTTATTAAACAATATTTGCTTTAGCAAAAGTCTGGCACGCAGTGCAATCAACTTTTCAGCACTTGTAGATCGTCAGACGCAACGACTAAATCGCTCGCCTCTGTGTGTGTGTGTGGGTGTGTGGATGTGGGTGTAATGTTGGGTTGAGTTGGGCATTTCTTGGAAACGGTGTGATAATTTGTTATTATTGGAATTGCATGGTTTCTTTTTTTCGATTGGAGTCGTTTATTTATTCTAAGGAAATTAAAAAAGAGTTTCCACATTCTGAATAATATTTATTATTTATATTTAAACTTAATTGATATATATTTGATCTTTATTATTTTATATATACACATATGGAAAACAATATTATCTATACATAACCAGAAAAGAAAAATACAAATGTGAAAGTCTCAATTGGGCATGATCGACTACTGAATACTCATTCACGATCTGATTTCTGATTTGCCACGTACCCAATGGACGTCGATACAATAGAATACGGTTATAACGGCACTCAAGGGACTGTCGTTATACCCAGAAGGCGCTATAACCGCATAAGTTTGCTCATAAAAGTGTATCTGGGGACCAGAATTTTCGTACCTTTTTCTTTCATATACATAACTACCCTAGCAAAATCCTGACGGTTATATAATCGAAAACCCAAATCTCTAGCTTCAATAGCGATGGTTTGCTAAGGAAAGATGGATGGACGGGTAGAGGAATAGACAAACGGACTGAAAAACGGACGTTGCCCAAAACCAATATACTCCTTTAAATTTCGAGAATGAAAACTATAGGATATCTTTGTTATAGCCGATATATATCGGTTATATACACACCATCTGAATTTAAGTGGTTTCCATCATATCTAAATTATCTGTAATTCTTCGCACAGACTTTAATACTCATTCTTCACTATCTCTCTATGCCTATCTTTAACTCCATATATCCTTCTCTCTCTATATCTCACACTCTCTCCTTCTAGGTGACTCTGTACACCGAGTTCAACGGTTTTTTTTTTTTTTGCTATTGCTTTATGTTATTTGCCAAATGAAAAAGTAAAAACAAATGTTTACCTTATAACGCACTCAGAGTTCTCTGCAGTTCTCTAGCGGCCAGACTGAGAATGCGGTCTGCAAATAGGCTTTGCTTTTGCTTTTGGGCTTTACATTTTTCTCTCTTTTTTTATGGGCGCCATTTTTGAGCAAACTTTGTTATCGGCGAAAAGAAGAAGAACAACTCGAAAGGCGGACAGTGTCATTTTTAGGCCGCAAAGCGATTTGCTACCTGAAATCATGCCAAAGCTGGGCGGCAGCGGTGGGTGCGGGTGAGTGGGTGGCTGAGCGGGTGCGTGGTTGCTGGCGGCGGGTTCAAGCGCCTTGCTCAAGGCAAACTGTTGATGGAGTTTCCGTTTTCAGCTGCTTTTTATCAGAGCCACTTGAAATAACCAAACAGCCAAGTGTAAAAAGTGCTAATTGTAGCACTCCCAGTGCTTAGGTCTCTTTCTCTCTCTCTATCTGTGTGTGCGTGTGTGTGTGTGTGTGTGTGTGTAGGTGCATGCGGTTTTCGTTACTCGAAAATTGTAATTCATGCGTGCCAGCAGACGCCAAAGTTTCAACAGAACTCAGTCAATCATAACCAAGAACAAGAGGGAACAAGCAGCTGGAGTAAACCCGAAATCTGAATACTCTTTTACAGTTCTAGCCAATATATATATATACTTTTTTTTTAATGTTCACAAATGACTCTAGACGAAAGGTTAAATATAAAAAAGAAATTATGATTAGAATATGTTCTTATGCAATTTCCATTATATTTCGTCTAAATTTCTATGTTATATTTAATAGAGTACACATTTTGTACGTGATCTTATAACTTTTTCTTTTTTTTTTTTAGTTTTATCCAAATTGTTAAGCTTTATTTATTTCTGAAGCTAAAAATAATAATAATATTATATTATATATTTAAGCGAGTTTATATTCTATATTTAAGCGAGTCAGAATCTGTCAAATTTTTACAAAATTTCAATCTTATAGTTTGTTTTTTTTTTTTTTATTTTTTTATTTTTATTTTTTTTTATTTTATTTTTTGTTGTTTCATTGTGTATATTTTGGAATATAGAAAAGAAACCAAAAAACTTTCTATGAAATTTAATTAGTGCTACAAATTTATTTATTATAGTTAGATTTATACATTTTGAGATGCATAGTCATATTCCCCTTTTGTAGGGTATTTAAAATTAGTAAAAAACAAACAGCAGCCGCAACAGCCGATCCCAGTTTTGTTTGCTGCGCCGTGCGGCAAGGCTGCAAGTGCGTGCTGCGCCGCATGCAACGCTGCACACACAGTGCACCCCCGCCGCCTGCTGCAGCAGCCACGCCCCTGGCGGGCTACTCCTTGGGCCATGTTCTTTGTTGTTTACTATGCGCTAAGTAGAAGCCTTCAACACATTTGGGCCCTATTCGCTGACTGACCTACCTTGGCGCCCGGCCCATTTTACATTTTGGCGTGCATTGACCAGCTAAATGAAGCCCTCCCCCCTCTCTCTCTCTCGCTCTCTCTGTCTCAGTCTCTCTCTCTGTCTCTGTCTCTGTCCCCCTTTTAACTAATCATCGCTGTGAATTTGCGCTAATGACTCCATAGCCCATGCCTCTAGCCACAGCTTACCATGCCATGCCATGCCTTGCCATGCCATTCCATGCTATCCCCTGCCATGCCGTGCCATGCCATGTCTCTAGGTGGCTTGTAAACTCTTGCATTAAGTGCCAGGAGAAACGTGTTCATAAAACGTTTTGGCATCCCAAATGTACATACATACGTACGTACATACTACATGATGTGAAAGAGTCATTTCTTGTCCCCCGACGTGCCATAAAAATTATGCATGAATGTATTTGCTTCATTTTACATACTCGCACAAGCGCTCCCATTCATATTGCTGCCCAAATAAAAACGTTGCCCTCGACTGGCCCAAAAAAAAAGAGGAAACAAAGACGAAATATAACTGAAAAAAGCTGGTAAGTACGCTGCAATTGCAGACAACCGACTGCGGAATACTCGCCTGCGAAAAATTTTTGTTTCGCCTCTATTTGTAGAGCCAACTTTGACCTTTCTCTAGCTTTCTTATAGAATACACAAATCTGTGAAAAGTAGTAGTAATTAAAAAAGTAATAGTAATAGAATTAATAGAATTAGAGTAGTAGTAGAATTAACAGCAGTAGTAGTAGGAAGTAGTAGTAGTAGTAGAAACAACAGCAGTAGTAGAAGGAAGTAGTAGTAGTAGTAGAAATATCAGCAGTAGTAGAAGGAAGTAGTAGTAGTAGTTGAAATAACAGCAGTAGTAGTAGTAGAAGGAAGCAGTAGTAGTAGTAGAAATAACAGCAGTAGTAGTAGTAGTAGGAAGTTGATATAGTAGTAGGAATTGAAGTATTAGGAAGTTGTAGTAGTAGTAGAAATAACAGAACGTTGTAAAACTAGTAGTAATTTGTAGTAGCAAAAAGAATAGTAGATAAGGATATTGTAGTAGTAAGAATATTAGCAGGAAACTATTGAAATAGTAGTTGTTATAAGTAGTGAAAAAGCAATAATAAAGAAATAGTAGTAGAAATGAGAGTATTAGCAGGAAACTATTGAAATGGTAGTTCTTAGTAGTATCTTAGCGCATCGTTAGAACAGATCTCACGTGAATAGCTAGACAAATATTGAGCACAGCAAATATACCCCAATTTCTAGTTGAGCGAGTGTATGAAAATCTGTAAAAAAGGAGCGAATGCAGCGTCGCATTTTTACGGCTCCATTCATGTGACGACGGAAGTGTCAAGTGGCTGTTGGCAACTCGTCGTCGACAACCAACTCTCATCCTGCGCGTCCTTTTCGTCAACGTCGACGTTGCCGCTGCTCCGCATCGAAAATACCGTTATTGTTACCAGTTGTCTACACACCTACACACATACACATACTCCCACATGGCCACCCACCCACACCAACAGAGCTCTGCTGCCGTCCTGGCTGCTGTCTACGTGTGCCAGGCTGCATTCTGGGCGTCTGCCTTTGAGTGGCAAACTTTTTTTTTATTTTTTATTTTCACGTATGTTTCGTACGGCTAAGTATGTGTTTTTCTTTACTCTTTCATTTCATTTGTGTGCATATGTGTGTGTGTGTAGAGTGCACCATTTTTGTATGCCCTTCATTTGGGTAGCTTTGTTCTTTTTTTGGTACAGTTGTGTCTGTGGGGTTAAGTGAATGTAAATGCACGACTAAGCACTGGGGAAATTCGTTTTACGAAATTCATATAGTCGCAGTTGTCATATACTAGATAAGTAGTTAGTCAGGCTGAGTGATTGACAGGTGTATCTGGCACATGCATAGGTAAAAAATCTCGTAACATAGTCTGATGTAATGCTTATTCAATTAAGCTTAGGGAATAGATTCGCATTTGTAAGTTGTCAAACATCATTAAAGCTCCTTAGATCTTAAACCCGTTATAAATTATTTAAGGAGTAAGTTTTGTATATTTTATATATTATTGATATAAGACTACGAATTCTATTAAAATCAATAGTTGTTCGAAAAAGGCATAAAGTCAGTTATATAGTGTACATACATAGATACTTTCGATTCTATACTTTTCAAATAATCTTACACTATTATTGTTATAGTTCCTTTTCTTAATATTCATTTACCTAATTTAAATTATAGTAATATTTAATTTATATTAAATTAAAAATTTTTTCTTATAATTAAGTTTAATATATATTTTCATAATATTTAATTTCAAATTAAAAAAAAAAAATTGTTTCTCATAATTAAATTTAA